TTCTCTAATGACAGCTCACTTTGTTCCCAGCAAATATTGTTTACTTTTTCTAGAAATGATGTAACCCATTGAGCATTTGCTTAAGATTGTGTGCTTGCATAGGTTTTGCATCTGTAATTCCTTCCCCCAATAAGTTTATATGCTGGTTGTATAGAAAATACTAACCATGTATAAATATGAAAATAATCAAGTTTTTAGTTAGGTGGTAAGTTTAGAGTTACAGAAATTCAGAGAACCACCATATTTTCCTCGCTTTCTATCTCAATTTCCTTTAGATTATGACTGAAAAGTAATACAATAGAAACTGCAAAGTGAAATAGAAGCAAACATGATTTAAGTACCTCAAAGAAAATTATATATTATGTGTAGCCTGTATGAATATAATATCATGAGACACTGACTTTCTTCTGAGGAAAAAAAAATCAGCTCCAGCAACTGTCAACTGACAGCTGTTCTGGAATTGACATCTTGACCATGATGACCATCTTGACAGCTGTTCTGGAATTGACATCTTAACAAACGATTTCACAAAGGATAAGCATCAGACAAATTTACTCCGTGATAATATATTGAAATTTAAAGACTTTCCTTTAATCATGTCTGAGTAGAGACAAAAAATAACGATACTGTCAATTTTTTAAAAGATGTACTCCTGCCTAATATAAGTGACTACAGCTATCTTACCAAATATAGTTTTAGCCCTACTACTCCTTTCTTCCTACCTCTTATTTTTAAAAAGTTTAGATATCCAATAAGATGTAGCATCTCTTAAAACCACCAGCTTCTGAAAGCAATCCCCAAAATAACTCAAATTCAATATCACCACTAGCACCAACATCGCATCCTTGCACGTGAGTCTCCCATGTTACAGCAAGTAATACTTCCAATTTTTTTCCCATAAGAGTATCCCTGGCGGTTGTTGGCTAGCAGTCATCAATATTGTCAATATATGAGAGTACCAGTTGCTTCACATGGTCACCCCAGGGGGTTGTCTGAAAATATGGTTTAAACATGTAATAGAATGTTATTCAGTCTTTAAAAAGAGGGAAGTTCTGCAATATACAGTGACATGGATGAATCTTTTTTTTTTCTTTTTTGAGTCAGAATATCATTCCGTCGCCCAGACTAGAGTGCAGTGGCCACTCCCGGCCACCGCAGCCTCGACCTGCTGG